GGTGTGCATGGAGGGGGGGGCATGAGGGTGTCCAGGGAGTTTGCACAGGGGTGTGTATGGGAGGGCATGGTGGGGAGTGTATAGGGGTGTGCATGGGGGAATGTGCGTGGGGCTGCATGAGTGTGGGTGTGCACGGGGGTTCGTGGAGGTTCACAGGGGTGTGCAGGTGGCTGTGCTTGGGGAGCTGTACATGGGGACTTGTGTGCATGGGGGTGTACGTATATGGGTGTGTGTGGGATTGTACTTGGGAGGAAGCGCATGGGAGTGTGCATGTGAGTATGTATGAGCCCCCTGATTCTCTCCCAAACTCTTGGCCCCATGCTCTTGGGGGCAGTGCTCAGGCAGGACCCAGCTCTGGGGGGCTGGTGTGAGCCAGGGGTGCACAAGGGTGGCTGTGGGGCTGCCACGTGTAGCTGTAGAGTCCAGGGGTGTAGCCGTACATGTGCGTGTGTAGCCCAGATCCCTGGTGCTGGGCAGTTTACATTGCAAAACTTGCAGGATCTTCCCAAGGGAAAAAAAGGAAGTTTATAATATTTGGGTTAAAAAAAAAAGAATCCCAAACCTCTGTAACATTAATGGCTTCATTTTATTTTTTTTCAAATGGGAAGAGCACAATTTTCCCTTCAATTGCCCAAGTTGAAAACAGCCGGACAGATTAATTCAATCAAACTTGGGAAAAAAAAATCCCTCTGGACTGAGACCAAAAATAGAATGTTTTTGCCAAAAAAAGAAGCTTTTTAGGAAAGTTTGGAGCAACGCAGATAGGCCTATGAGGGGGAGGCTGAGAAACCCAGATACAAGCTCAGCCGAGGGAAGGCTCAGACAGGAGCACCCGAAACCTCCGACAAACCCCTTTCTTATGGTTGCGGTCCCTCTGCCTGCTCATTGCTGGGTGCCGAGCAGGGGGCTGCCCGGCTGGTGGAGCTGGGTCCCAGCCAGGGCTGCTGCCTGCCCAGCCCTGCTCTCCCGGGAGGCCTCTAACTCTCCTTCTCCAGGCTCTGCTGCTCCCTCCAGGGAGCTGCCTGCAACTGTTCTCCTCTGTCCCCACTCCAGCTCCCAGTGACAGATGTCACCCATGCAGCCACGGGGTCACATCCACCCTGACCTGCCCAGGAGGGTCTGGCTCATTCCTGCCTGCCATGGGGGCTCTGCTCACTCACCGCAGCCCCCTGCTCCCGGCTCTGCCCTGTTCCCGGGATGGCTCTGGTGCGTGCGGTGACTGGCTCTGGCAGGGGGAGATGGGTGCTGGGGGGGGCTGTCCAGACCAGCCCTGCTGCAGCATCTCCAAGCACCCAGGCAAGGGGATGCGCTGGGACCCGAGGCACCCAAAGCAGGGTGCAGACAGTGGGCATGAGCCCTCAACAGGCAGGAGATGGGGTGTGCAAGGACTCCCAGGCACGCCGTTTGGAGATGCTGCCTGTGAATGCGAGTGCTCTGTGTCCCCCAGCCTTCCCTTCCTTGACCCTCTCTGGTGTCTGGCCCTTGCTCTGTCTGTGCAGCCCCGACACTCCAGGGCTGGCCACGCCAGCATGGTGCACACTAAGCAGCATCTGCAAGGGTGGTGGGCTCTGGAAGCTGGCAGAGAGCTGGGGCCCCCCCCAGGGCACCCCTCATCCCCCCTGGCAGAGGGGCACCACAGAGACCCCCCACTCCTGGGTTCTGTTTCTAACTACCAACATCTCACCTTATCCAAATCCCCCCACTCCCACAGCCCGGTTACTCACCCTGTAATGAAGGCAGCAGTCATCCTCCATCTCCCGGGAGGGGGGTCTGACTATGCCTACCCCTGGAGGGGGGAGCTGCGGGTGAAGGGGCTGCTGAGGCGACTCCATGGCCTGCTCACACCGTATGGGGACCAGCACCCTCCACCCATCCCTGGGGCTGTGCATCCCTCTCTGCGGTGGAGAGGTGCCCGTGGCAGTGCCGCACAGATCTGCTCGGCCAGTCCTGATCCAGCCACCTCCCCGCTGCCCCAGCTGGTGGCTTGGCCCTTTGGGGATGCGCTCTCCTTGCCCCAGGCAGTGCAAGGGCTGGGATGCCCCATCCCGGTCATATCAGCACCTCCAACCAGCTCAGAGGCTGCTCTGCCACGGGGTGTCCCCCTGCACAGCCAGTCCCTATGGTGTGGGGGAGGCAGCGTGGGTGGGGGTCTGCCCCAGCCCTGGCATTCGAAGCTCCCGCAGGATGGTACCCACAGTGGGGCTTCAACCACTCCCCTGCATCCTGCTGCCACTGTGGCACCCACTGCTGGGTGCTGGGAGGAGGATGAGGAGGGGAGCTCTGCCTCACTGCAAGGATGCTCCCGGGGATGGCTGGAGGTGGCTAGATCCTGCCTCTCCGCCCTGACACGAGGGGCAGTGTGGCCGAGTGCTGGTGCTGGGGCTGGTGTGCACCCACTGCCCCGGGCCCTGCCAGCACCCCAGCCCCGGGCAGCCAGGAGGACTGGCTGGGCCGGCCGGGTGGCCGTGTGGTTGACTCCTGAGTCATGGCGAGCAGACTCGGGCAGGTCGCGGGGTGTGAGCCAGTGGGAGGACAGCGATGCTGGGGGCTCCGGTGCTGCCGGGCTGGGGCAGCTTGGCATGGTGACTAACGCTGCCGCAAAAGGCAGGGTCGCCCCGACCCTACGCCCAGCCCTGACTCATGCAGCCGTCGCTCCGGTCCTGTGGGTGCTGCTGGGCAGGGGAGCGAGGAGAGCTGTGCTGCAGGATGGCGAAGACTGGGTGAGTGGCCAGCTGCATGGGCTCCCAGCGAACCTCTCCTTCCTCCTCCTTCTCCTCCTCACCAGCTTGCATGCCCTGCTGCAGACTGCAAGCCACGCAGTGGCTCCCAGCACCCTTCCCCCTATGGCCTCCAGGGCCCAGTGGCATCAGACTGTCTGTCCTGGTGCTTCTCCACCTCTGTCCATCCTCCTGCTCCACCATGCTTTGGGGTTCCCCAGTGCTTCCCCCTTCATCCCCTGCTCTGTGTTAGCAGAGCTGCCCCATCCTGCACAGACTGGCTGGACCTGGTGGTCCCGGGGGCCATCAGCCCCTCCAAGGCTGCAGCATGGCCAGGACTGTGCTTGGCTGGAGCAGGCTGGTCTCTCCCTGTGCTGTCCTCCAGTCCCATCTGTGGGCCTGCAGCCAGTCTGGGAGATCAAGTGGGAGCAGCATAATACAGCACAGAGACCTTGACCCCTGCCCTTCCCTGCCGTGGGTCTCTAGGGGGTCATCCTTGGACATCCCAAAGCCCCAGAGAGATGACCCACTGCTCCAAGGAGATGCCAAAGACCTTCCATCCAGTGCCTATGAAAACCACTGCATGATTGTCCAGGGCACAGGGCTTGAAGGTTGCTCATCCCAAGGCAGAAGGGGCTAAAGGAGGGCACCTGCCAGGAGGGAAGGGGGAAACGGAGCCAGCGAGCCATGGGCTGCGTGGAGAGGTGCTGGAAAGGGGTCCTGATAGAGATGACAACAGAAGAGCCAGCCCCATTCTCCTGGGGGTGTGGAGCCTGTGGCACTGGGTGCTGGCAGGACCTGCTCCTGCATGAGGGAAGGTGAAAGGAGCAGGGAAAGTGTAGGCAGCCTGGGGGCTGAGCAGGAGGATGTGGGGTGTAGAGATGGAGGGATGGCAAGAGGGATGGAAGGACAGAGGGATAGTAAGAGGGATGGAAGGACAGAGGGATAGAAGGATGGAGGGAAGGGAGGATGGAGACAAAGAGGGATGTATGCTTCCCCAGTCCCCTGTACAAAGCACATGCTGGGGCACCACATAAGCTGCTGAAGAACGGGAACTGCCTGGGGGCTTTGGCCTGGGCAGGGAAGCTTCAAGGGGTGTCCCCATGGTGCCCTGTGCCAGGGACACCCCATCACCTTTCCCACCCTGGTTCTGGGGATCAACACCCTTTATGCCAGCTCTGAATGCTTCCCACATCCCTGGCTGGCCTCTGCAGAGCATGGGGCTGCTGAGGGGTGCTGGAGGTGGGAGAGTAGCTGGAAGGTGGCAAGTCCCATGGCCCTGTGTCCCTGTGTCCCCAACCAAGGGGCTGCAGCAGTGACAAGGACAGATGCAGTGCCCACAGAAGGCCCAGCTTTTGCCCTGAGCCTTGATGCTTCCACCAGGACCAGGGCATCCTCTGCCAGCCTCACACGCCTGCCTGCACCCACCCCTGCTTGGAGGGGCCAGATCCTGTCCCATAGGCCTCCGGTTCCCTGGGCCACAACAGATGCTTAATTTTGTGCTTAAGGGCTTTGGTGGTGTGACACAGAAGAAAGGCTGGAGCAAAGGGCTCACCTCACTCTTCTTCAGCCCTGGGACGCTGCTGGGACATGAGGAAACAGGTCCTCCCGTGCCTGCCCCCACTGTGAGCGCTGAGACGGTGGGACGCAGCGGCCAGCCTCCTCCCCAAGTCAGCAGGAGCGTGCGAGTGAGACACCCGCTCTTGGAAGCGATTATGTCATTAAGGGCTGGAGGAGGATGAAAGCATTTCCCCTCTGATTTGCCTTGGCATTTATTTGTGCGCAAGATCCTAACGAACACACAAACATCTGCGCTCCCAAGGCCTGGGCGCCAGGGTCCCTGGAGCCGCGGGAGTTGCCTTCCGGTGGGAAGGAGCCCCACACTTGCCAGGGGACCCCCAAAAGGAGACCCCAGGACACCCTCCAGTGGGTCCAGGTTGAGGGCAGCACATGCCTGGGTGGTGGAGCAGTGGCCCCTACATCGCGGTCCAGTGAGTGCCACCCCTCCAAGTCCCCCAGTGTGCTCTGCACAGCCGTGACACTGCACCTCCCATCAGCCAAAGTCTGCAGCAAGGGGACAAGCAACCTACAGTGGCAGGTGGCTGGGATGGGTCCCGAGATCACTACCAAACTCCTGTGGGACACCCCACATCACCTGCTGGGTGCTGGGGGGGATTCAGGAGGGCAGCAGCTATGGGAGCAGCAATGCTGAGGGGATGCTGTGCAAGGGACCTCTCTGTGCACTCAGGGACAGAGGGTCTGCAACCCCCCTCCTGCCAAACTGCGTGGGCAGGGAAGTCAGAGGGTAGATGCCGGCCCCATGCCAGTTCTCCCACCTGCCCACAGCTTGGGAGCGGAGCTGGGGGCAGGAGAACAGCCAGCACCCCCAGGACTGCAAAAGAGACCTCAGTGGGGATGCCACCCCCCCTGCACCCAGAGAGCCCAGGGGGCACAGCAGAGTCTTCAGGCCCAACCCTGGATTGCAACTCATTTCCCAAAGGAAACACATTTTCCTCCCCAGTGCAAACAGGAACCGACACGCAAGCAGTGCTGGCAGCCCCTGCCAGCACTGCTGTGCCGGCGCGAAGACGCGCGGTGCCCGCCTGGGGGGAGAGCTCTTTGCCAGCTGCCGCCCGGCTGTTTACGGTGCGAACACCAGCGTGGCGTGGGCCACGGCGGCTGGGGACACCGGGGAGCTGCAGGGGCACTGCTTGCCGCCCCCCAGCCACTAGCGCCCAAGAGGAGCCCCCCTCACCCCAGGGTGGGGACCCAAACTCAGGGGACACCAAGTGTCCCCGTGGCCAGGAAGAGGCTGCATTGAGGCAGATGGTGTTTGCGAGTTACCCCAGGCTTTCTGAGGGCCACCCTCCTATCCCCAAAGGAGCAGCAGCAGGACACAGGGACAGCCTGCAAGGCCACCGCACAGCTCCCAGATGGGAGACCCCCCCTGCCCAGAGGGACCCCCATGAGGGAAAGGGGTACCAGAGCATTAGGGTGATGGTGCCAAGGAGCCAGGCACAACCTGGGTGCCCAGCCCGGGAGGGCTTGTGGGGAAACTGAGGTGGGGAGCGCTCAGCAGCCCCGTCAAGGGAAGCCAGAGCCACAGCCGCAGCTCCTCCAAAGGCATTGGCCCCGTGGCGCTGCTTTCCCAGCCCTGACACTGGGCTGGGGGAGCCCAAAACAGGCCTGGCGCCTCCATGGACTATACGCGGCCACGGTCTGTGCCCACACACACACAGTCACACCCCCAGCACGTGCCATTCACGCTCACACCCTTGTGCACACAGACAGGCACCCACGTGCCTCACACCGGCAGGGACACTTTCCTGCAAACCCCCAGCTCTTGCCAGGCACCCCCAGCCCCTGTGCACGTACCCTGATACCCCTGTGCACCCCCAGCATCCTGTGCACACCCCACACCATGGGCACACTCATCCCCACTCCTCATACCCCCCACATATCCCACGCTATGCACACCCTTCTCCCTGTGTACACTCACTCCATGCCCCATGTATTTACCCTCTGCATGCACACTCACTCCCCACACACGCCACACCGTGCACACTCTCTCCACACCCCACGCACTCATCCTACACCCTGCATATTCACCCTATGCCCCCAGCACACTCAATCCGCGCTGTCCACACTCACCTCACACCCCATGCACACTCGCCCCACACCCCATGCACACTCGCACCAGACTGTACACAGTCACCCCACACTCCATGCACGCTCACCCTCACCACTCGCATTTTCTCCATGCTCCACACACACTCACCCCCACCATGTGCAATCCACACACCATGCACACTCACACTATGTTATGCACCCTCGCCCCGTACCTAGTGGACACTCAACCACACCATGCACACTCACCCATGCCCTAGGCACACTAACCCCGCACCCCATGCACTCACCCTGCCATGCACACTCACCCCACACCCTGTGCAATCACCCACACTTGGAGCAAGCTCGCGCTGTGCACGTTCACTCACACCTTGTGTATACTTACCCCATGCCATGCACACTTACCTGTGTTGTGCACGCTCACCCCATACCCTGTGCACGCGCCTCCACCCTGTGCACACTCACCCCATGCCCACAGCACCCTGCCCCCATGCCCTGTGCACACTCCCCCACACTGCACACTCCCCCAAGTCCCCATGAATGTTCTCCCACTCCATGCACACCCACCTCACACCCCACACACAGTCCCCCACACTGTGCACACTTGCCCCTGTGCCACGTACACTCAGCCCTCCGCACACTCAATCCCCATGCTGCACACACTCACCCCACACCATGCATGCTCCCCCACGCCATGCACACTTACCCCACTCCCTGCGCACGCTCCTCCACGCTGTGCACACCCACCACACACGCTTCTCCACGCTGTGCACACTTACCCACACACCGGGCCCGCTCCCCCACGCCGTGCACACTCCCCCTACTCCCTGTGCACGCTCCCCACGCCGTGCATACTCCCCCTACTGCCCGTGCGTACTCCCCACGCCGCCCCTACTTCCCCACGCCGTGCCCACTCCCCCCGCACCACGCACCCCCTCTTACTCCCCGTGCACACTCCCCCGCGCCGTGCCCACCCCACGCCGCGCC